GTTGGGTCAATAATTCCTTTTTCCACCATATTCACAAAATCTCCAACCATAGCATCATAACCAACTTCTGAGGAACTTTGCATAATTTTCTCAACTATCAAAGATCCTTCAACACCTGCATTCTTAGCAATGGTCATTGCGGGAATTTTGAGTGTTCTTTTAACAATTTCTATACCAATTTTTTGATCTTCATGAGCTGGAGTCAATGAGTCCGAGGCTGGAATGCATCGAAGCAGGGCACAACCCCCTCCCAAAACAGCGCCTTCTTCAACAGCAGCTCTTGTAGCATGAAGGGCATCTGTAACTCGTCTGTCTTTTCATTCACTTCAGCATCACTTGTCCCACCGACCTTCAGCACAGCTACTCCATCTGAAAGTTTTGCCAGCCGTTCATTCAGTTTTTCCTTTTCATATTCACTAGTTGTGACATCTAACTGCTCAATGATTTCTTGAATACGTTTTTCAATTTGAGCCTTGTCACCTTTTCCTTTTAAGAGCATGGCACCGTCTTTGGTCACAATGACCTCTCCACCTTTTCCTAAGTCATGAGGCTGAACGTCTTCAAGAGTTAGGGTCAACCCCTCTTCTCCAAACACTGCACCACCAGTAGCAATAGCCATATCTTTAAGCTGGTTCTTTCTATAGTCACCAAAGCCTGGAGCCTTGACTGCCACAACCTGAAGACCAACCTTTAGCCTATTCAAGACGAGTGTACTTAGAGCTTCTCTATCAACGTCTTCAGCGATTATGACCAAAGGCTTACGATGATCTTCGGCAATTTCAAGAGCAGGTACAATGGACTGAACACTAGAAATTTTCTTTTCACTCAACAGAACATAGGCATCCTGGAATTCACATTTCTGACCTTTTGATATATTAATAATAAAGTATGGAGAAATATAGCTTCAATCAAACTTCATGCCTTCAATAATTTCTAATTCATCATTCAGTGTTTCTCTATCCTTTACTGTGATGACAGCCTTTCTTCCAACCTTTTTCATTGCATCAGAGATGATATTGCCAATTTCTTTGTCTCCGTTTGCAGAAATCGTAGCAACCTGTGCAGTTTCTTCAGGGGTGGTCACAGGTTTAGACTGCTTTTAAGTTCAGCAAGTACAGCATCAACAACTAACATCACACCTCTCGTGATTTCCACTGGAGTAGCACCTTTGCTAATCTTCTCGAAGCCTTCCTTGGCCATAGAGCATGCCAGTACAGTAGCAGTGGTGGTGCCATCCCCAGCCTCTTCATTTGTGTTATTGGCAACATCTTGAACAAGTTTACCTCCAATGTTTTTATATTTATCCTTTAAGTCAATTGGCTTTGCAACAGTCACACCATCTTTTGTTACTTTGGAACTTCCCCAGCTCTGCTCAGTAATCACTGTTCTTCCCTTTGGCCCCATTTTAATGGCCACAGCATCGGCTAAAAGGTCTACACCTTGAAGCATTAAGGCTTGGGCATCTGCACCAAATTTTACATCTTTGGCATAAGCCCAAGTGAGATGAGGAGCCAGTACCATGGGCACCAGTCTCATCTGGCGAAAGGCTGTGGGTAACCGAAGCGTTTCTGCGGGGCGGTGGCAGGGCATGCGCGTGGCAAGACGGGTCATCGGTGGTGAGTGAGGGACAGAGTGCAGGGCACACACGGCAATGAGCTCATGTCCCCTCCCTCTGTCTCTCCCCCTGCCCCGCGGCACCGCGTGTCTCCAAACTTTTCATTAGGGAATTCAGGGTAGAATTTTTTGTGGCTCGTTAATTTTTTTTTGGAGATAGAGTCTCACTTTATTGCCTAGGCTGGAGTCCAGTAGTGTGATCTTGGCTCACTGCAACCTCCACCTCCCAGATTGAAGTGCTTCTTTTGCCTCAGCCTCCCGAGTAGCTGGGATTATAGGCGCATACCACCAAGCCTGGCTAATTTTTTTTTTTTATATTTTAACCATGTTGGCCAGGCTGGTCTCAAACCACTGCGCCCAGCCTCATGAATTTTTTTAAGGCAATTCACAAGTCTCTGACAAATACAAGTGAGATAAATGTGACTGTAAATGTTTTCCTTCCATACAGGTGTTTGGGAGGGTTTTGTTTGTTTGTTTGTTTTTTCTTTCTTCAGCTTTTAAGTTCCAGGGTACATGTGCAGGATATGAAGTTTTGTTACATAGGTAAATATGTGTGATGTGGTTTGCTGCACAGATCAACCCATCACCCAAGTATTAAGCCCAGCATCCATTAGCTCTTCTTCCTGATGCTGTCCCTCCTGCTGTGCCCCTGACAGGCCCCAGTGTGTGTTGTTCCCCCGATGTGTCCATGTGTTCTCATTGTTCAGCTCCCACTTATAAGTGAGAACATGTGGCCATCGTCCCACCCTGTTTTTCCTCGTTCTCCATGAGTCGCCCCGACTGGTTAGTCAGTCCCAGTGCAAGAACCTGAATACCTCAGTTGAAGGTGTAGAATTCACTCGCCATTCCACTCTCCAGGAGCGCTGCGGTTCGCAGCTGCTTCTGATCAGCCATCTTGGCCCACCTTGTGGTTTTTTTTTTTTTGGTTTTGTTTTTTAAGGCTAGTCAAGTGAAGCAGTGGGAGTGGAGAAGGAACAAAGAAATCTGTAACTGGTTGTAATTAATTAGTAGTAAATACCATTGCACTCGGATCAGCCTATTTGAGGGTTTTGTATCCATCCTATCCCATTCTACTTTGGCACAGAATCAGACTACGGTTTTTTTAAATTAGCATTAATTTTTCTTTTTGCTTGATTCCTTTAATCTACCAAAAGGTGCCATGAAAAGACTGTATATATTAGTGCAAATTTGAAAGTGATTCCAGATCATTTTTTGAATCGTTTTGTCTTCCTATTTAAGACATCTCACTTGTTTTCTTTACAATCAGTTTCAGAGTATTCATTTTCAGGGACATTTTAGAGCTTGTTCATGCTTTGGTTCCTTTTTTTTATTTCCCCCATTGCCTTATGATGTAATGAGAAGGACCCTGTTGTGAATTTTCACTTTATAAATTTACATGGTTTGAATTCTTGTGTATTGAACTGCACACCATATCTTTTGCTTTCAGTTCATGTATGCACAGATTATAAAATAAATAACAAAACTATTCCCTGAAAGTTGAGAGTAAGCCACATCTTGATGAAAAGTTAAGATTTGGCCAGAATTATATCATATTTCCAAAGCCCTGTGAGATACACTCTAATACCCTCATTTTACAGAGCAGGGTGCAGGCCCAGAGGAGACATGTGTTCACCTTTTATTTGTTAACTGTGCTCTTCCCTCAGGCCCCGTTTTCCTTTTCTGAGAAGCGAGGGGGCTTGGTGTAGCTCACTGGCCTTCACGCTTGCTGTTTGGACTCCAGGGGTAGACGTGATATTTGGAACTCAGGGGTAGACATGCCTTTGTGTCTGGCCGTCACCCTCCCTCCACTGTTCACCAGCTCAGTTCTACCTTCATCTGTTTTCCATATTGAACTTCTGGTAAGATTTTGTCTATGAGCCCAAGCAGAGGCGGTTGGGGGAGACTCGTACAAGTAAAATGGGAGCTTGAAGACTACTGCTCCACATAGTTACCCAACTCCAAGTTCCATCCAGCTGGGAGCCGTCCATCATGTTCTGCCTGGTGCACAGCACAGGACCAGCCTGTGAAAGGTGCTCTGTCCTTGCTTGTTGAGTCATTCAGGTCTCTTCTCTCTCACTTTCCATGATTCTTCCAGCCAAGTGGCGGCCAAGCCAAGACCCAGGCAGGTTTCTTCACTCCTGATCTAGGCTCTCTAGCTCTGCAGCCCATTGATCTGGCTGCATCAAAGAGGTATGGCCAGGCACGGTGGCTCACACCTGTAATCCCAGCCCTTTGGGAGGCCGAGGCGGGTGGATCACTTGAGGCCAGGAGTTCGAGACCAACCTGGGCAACATGGTGAAACCCCGATGTCTACTAAAAAAAAAAAAATACAAAAATTAGCCAGGCGTGGTGGCACATGCCTGTAATCCCAGCTGCTTGAGAGGCTGAGACATGAGAATTTCTTGAACCTGGGAGGTGGAGGTTGCAGTGAGCCAAGATCACACCACTGCACTCCAGCCCTGGGCAACAGAGCAAGACTCTGTCTCAAAAAAACAAAACAAAACAAAACAAAACAAAACAAAAGCAAACAAACAAAAAAACAGAGGCATGGAGGATTCAAAGTTAGGATGTCTCCTGGACTAAGAAACCATTGTCAATGCCTCACCTACTCCTCGATTTTCTAGATAATGATAACCACCTGCCCACAGGTTCTCCCATTATTGAAGATATGTAAATGTTCTTAGGGATCCAGATATGTGTGCATGAGGTCCTTAGCCTCTCTGAGCTCCAGGCTCCTCATCTGTAGAGATGGAGATAAAGCCTTTGTCCTCAGGCTGTTGTGTAAAGCACTCAGCCCAGCGTCCATCACCCAGGAGACACACAATCAGTGGTGGATATTGGTAACATACATCAAAAGCCTTAAAAAATATGCTTTCCCTTTGACTCAGCAATTCAATGATTTAGAATTTATCTAAGGAGATAATACAGTACAAGGATATCATGGTGGCCCTGGGACAAAATAAGTGTCTACCAGTAGAAGAGTCAGATTATAGTATGTGTATACAGTGGAGTGTTATGCAGTCATTAAAAATGATAGATAGGCTGGGTGTGGTGGCTCATGCCTGTAATTCCATGCCTGTAGTCCCCCAAATTTTATGTGGCATGTTTTCTGCTTACACACATATATATGTGTGTGCACATATGTGGAGGAAAGGCTGGACGGGTACACACCAAATGATAAGAATGGTCAGCCTAAGCAGAATTCTAAGTGACCATAGATTTTCATTTTCTGATCATTTTCAATGAATATACATTTACTTCTATAATTCTGTAACAGGCAATCAAGACAAAACCATCTCTCCATTCACAACCCCTCTTTTCACTCACCCATTCTCTGCTATTCTAAACATGATCTCTAGTTTTCATGGGTCCGCCGTTTCTCCGGGTCGTGTTGTTTCCAGTCTTCTAGTTCTCAGTTCCTAGTACACCAACTCTAGATTTCCCACGCCTGGCCTGCCAGCTGCCTGTTAGGCACTTTAATTTGCCTTCTCAGTTGAACCTCAGAACACTCCCATGAATTGGGTCATTGCCGTTTTCCTAAAAAACAGCAACAAATGTAGACATTAAGAAGCTAATTTCCTAGCCAGGTGAGATGGCTCATGCCTGTAATCCCAACACTGTGGGAGGCAGAGGCAGGTGGATCTCCTGAGGTCAGGAGTTCGGGACCAGCCTGGCCAACATGGTGAAACCCCATCTCTACTAAAAATACAAAAATTAGCCAGGTGTGGTGGCATGGGCCTGGAATCCCAGCTACTTGGGAGGCTGAGACAGGAGAATCGCTTGAACCCAGGAGGCAGAGGTTGCAGTGAGCCAAGATCACTCCATTGCACTCCAGCCTGGACAACAGAGCGAGACTCCATCCCCCCCACACAAAGAAAAAGAAAAGAAGCTAATTTCCCACCTACCCTTTTCCACCCCAACTCCTATGCATCCTTCAAACCAGGCTTCAGTGACATCCCCTCTAAAGACCACGCCTGCCAGCAGAGTCAGCCCTCTTCCCCTCTGGCTCCCTGACCCTGGGTGACAGCCTCTGTCAGCCACCATCACACTGCACTGTAGTTGTTACCTGAGTGCTGACCTAGGTCTGCCCCCTCCAGACTGTGAGCTCAGTAAGAGCAGAGACTGGTTACTCTTTTCTGTACCCAAGCACTTGGCACAGTTCTTAGCACATAGTAGAGATTCTGGAACCATCATTCAAGCAGCAAACATTCACTGGCCTACACTTCCTCTTGAGTTGCTCCCATGACTTGGATTCTGATTCCTTGGTCTGGACTGGCATCCAGAATATTCAGCCTCAAGCTTCATGGGACCCAACCAAGCCTGGAGGCCACAGAGGCAGGTGTCCTCTCCCTGGACATGGGAAGGAGAACATCCAGGTACAGGGAGCAGTTTCTGGGCTGTTCCAGTCTGACCTTGGAGGGACCACAGAGAAGGGTGGTGCAGCAGAAGGTGTGTCTGCTGCAGAGGGGCCTGCCAAAGAAGAGGAGTCTCTTCCCCGGTTTCCCTCCTCCAGTGTTGTCTCCGCCAACGCTGTCCTCCAGCGCTGCAGCCGCAGATAGTCATGAGAAGGCAGATCCGACCACGCCACTCCTCTGATGACAGCAGGCTGCTGTCACCGTGGGATAAATGAGCTCTGTCATGGGTGTACAGCGCCATTACTTGCCCGCACCTACCCCTATCTCTGCAATCAAGTTGTTTATTCCACCCCTAAAAAATACTGATGTAAAAAATTTTACATCAGTGTTATTGTGGGGCCTTTGCTTTTGCCATTTCCTCAGCTTAGTGTACCCACCTAGGACCTCCTCTTATCTGACTCACCTTTTTATCCTTTCACCTGCGCTCAGATGCCACCCCAAAAGGCCCAGTGCAGTGCCCCATCCTCTGGGACAGAAGCTTCCTGTGTCCACACATCTTGTTTAGCAAGTCCCACGTTATGTGGAAATCATCGTTATGGCTCCATCTCTTCCCTTGACTCTGAACTCCAGTGAGGGCAGGGACTGACTCTCATATACCTGGGTGGTTCCAGAGGCTGGCACAGACTGAACTGGAATGAACTAGAAAAGAGTTTGAGCTGTATCTAAATGGCATAAGGGTTTGTGCGTGGTAATGACCCAATCCAAGTTGCTCAGGGAACAGGATAGGGCCAGGAGGGGGAAAAGAAAAAAAAGGAACTTTTTTTAAAAACAAAAGGCTGGTGAGCTCCTTGGATCAAAAAATAGGTCTGAAACCATGTGTGTGCCTCCCACGCCCAGTGCTAGGGAGCGTGCCCTGTTAAAGTGGTGAGTTGCTTGACAGCTGAAGTAGGGATGATGGATTAGGGATAGGGAGAGGTACAGAAAAAGAAGGGAAAGAGGCTTGATTGTTTTGTTGGCCCACCAAAAACTGCTGCTTAGGATTGCTGCCGTTGATTGAAATTGAATAAATACTAAGCATTTCATTTATTCCTTCAGTAAATATTACTGGGTACTCACTGTAGGCCAAGCTGGAGAATGTCATAGCCAACCCTTATCAAGTGTTCCCTTTGTGCCAGGCTTGAATAGTTGTCCCCACAACCCCACAGGGGAAGAGAGATGGCAAGAAAGTATTTGCTCAAGGTTGTGCAGCTGGTGTGCGGCAGAGCCAGGCTTTGACCCAGGCCCGCACATCCAGAGCCTGGATTTTTAACTGCTTTGCTCCAGTTTTGCCTCTGAAGAAGATCAAACAAGACAGCACTCCTGTCTTCCTGAAGCTAGTGGAATTTCTTAACAGGTTGTCATTTTATTCCAGCAAATTCTTATTATAGAAACCAGCTGGTTATATTCAACATTTAAAAAAAAAATTAAATCCTGGAGGAATGGTCCTCCAGAAGGCAAAGGAGAAACCACATCTGCCCTGAACCAAGCTCGCACAAATAATACCCAGCACATATGCAGCTCATTTCTAGGTCTTTTTTTTTTAAACTTCCTAATATTTAATTTAAAAAATTTTTTTTAATTCCGTGGATGCAAAATTTGGCAGATAGAAACAGGATGGAGTGGGTTGGCAGTAATCTACATGTGGGAAGAAAAAAATTGTAGTGAGAAAAAATAATTAATAGTTGGGATCTATTCAAATTCACATTATGTAAGGAGGGCTCTATTTTGGTTGGGTGAATCATCTTTTTTATTAAAAGGGAAATTATCAAAAAGTTATGGCTGTCCTAATGCTGAATTGGGGGAAGCAGCAATAATATTGATGTAAAATTTCAAAGTAAAATACTAAATAAAATATGCTCACAACTCTGGGCCGATAGAGTCTTATATAAAAGGCCTATATGGCCGGGTGCAGTGGATCACTCCTGTAATCCCAGCACTTTGGGAGGCCAAGGTGGGTGGATCACGAGGTCAGATGATCGAGACCATCCTGGCCAACATGGTGAAACCCGTCTCTACTAAAAATACAAAAATTAGCTGAGCATGGCGGTACGTGCCTATAATCCCAACTACTCGGGAGGCCGAGGCAGGAGAATCCCTTGAACCCGGGAGGTAGAGGTTGCAGTGAGCCGAGATGATGCAGCTGCACTCCAGCCTGGGTGACAGAGCAAGACTCCGTCTCAAAAAAAAAAAAGTCCTATAACTATAAGAATTTGGAAAATTCAGTCTGTTTTTAAACTTCATTTGATGTATTTTGTAAAGAACATATCTGTAAAAGATGAATATGCTGTTTTATGGCAGTAAATAATGCAATGTTTTAGCAGAAGCAATGGCATAATAATTGAACATTCATGTAGCACTTTAGAGTTTAGCAAGATTTTTGGGTCTTTTATTTGTTTGTTTGTTTAGACAAGGTCTGGCTCTGTCACCCAGGCTGGAGTGCATGGCACAATCTTGGCTCACTACGACCTCTGCCCACTGTGACCTCTGCCCCCCTCGGCCTCCCACCTCGGCCTCCCAAGTAGCTGGGATGACAGACATGTGCCACCACACCCAGCCAAGTTTCTGTATTTTTGGTAGAGACAGGGTTTCACCATGTTGTGCAGGCTGATCTCAGACTCCTGAGCTCAAGCAATCCACCTACCTTGGCCTCCCAAAGTGCTGGGATTAGAGGTGTGAGCCACTGCGCCTGGCCTAGTTTAGCAAGTATTTTTACAGTTTGGATTTTCACAAAGACTTTTAGCCCATGTGCAACTTTGCTGTTTTATCACAAAGAAACAAGGCAACTAAAAGGAACTAAAACTTCTTGGAGAAGCAGCTGATTTTAGGGCAAGGACAGGGAAGGAACAGTGGAAGCTTGGAATGAGAAGTGCTCAGCCTAGGAGGGGGACATGTCAGACGGTCACGGGAACCTGCTTGACGGGGCTCCCCGTCACCTGGGACAATTTGAAGATCAAGGTCAATAGTATTAGTAATGGATTACAACCTCTTGAATAAAGTAAGAACCCATGAGTCTCTACTAATATAAATGAGTGAATAAATAAACAACTGGGAGAGGAGGCAAAGCTCCTCCTTAGAAAGCCAACTAATGAATGCAGAGGGAAGGGTGGACTGAGAAAGATCACCACTTGCCAGCCATCATCACAATCACTCGTTCAGACCAGAATCATTAGCAGTATTAAATTAAGGCCATTGAGGTTTGAGGGGTAACATGACGTTTATATAGTCTCAGAGTACCTCGCTAACAAGACACTTTTCATCACAAAAGGTGAAATGGTAACTCTCCAGTGGAGAGACCTGGCAGGTGCCCCCTTAACCAGATGATCCCCGGTGACCCCACCGGCAATGGGACTCCTGTGCCCAGGCGGGAGGCAGTGACATTAGCTCAGCACCCCATCTCTGTGTCCCTGCCAAACGTGTTTTACCCAAACTAATCTCAAGGAAGCATCAGACCACATTACAAGAAGGAACCAAATAACTGGGGGCGCAATAAACATGACAACTGAATTCAATCTCTGACCATGGATTTCCTTTTGCTGTGAAGGTTATTATTTGGATAATAGGCAGTATCTCAATAAGTCTGTAGATTAGTATTGTTTCAGCATTAATTTTCTAATTTTGATCATTACGCTTTGGTTATTTAAGAGAGTTCTTTGTTTTTAGGACATACACACTGAAGCATTTTGGGGAGGGAAGGATGGGAGGAAGGATTTCCCAGGAAGGGATGCTGCTGTCATAGAACTCAGACCACAAAGTCAGCCTCTCTCGGCGCAGGCTGCCAGTTGAAGGGAAATGGGCCACAGCCCCGTCAAGCCTCAGCAGCTCCCTGGGAAGACATGAGGGGCAGCTGCCTTGCCTCTTCCCGCCCTGTTCCTCTGTCTGTTTGCCTAGGCTGTTCCCCCGTGAAAATGCCCTCTACCCTCCTCACCTGCCTGGAGAAAGGCCAGCTTAGAGGTTTCACTAAAGGAGATGTAGAGGGAGAGTTCAGAGCCCTGGCTTCTCCTTCTCACATAGCCACCGACAAGAGAGGGAAGTGGGGAGTGGCCGCAGGATCCCTGCAGACCTCGGCGTCCTCCCCTGCATGATGAAGGGTCTGGACCAGCTGGTCTTTGTGACTTTCCAGCCATTTCCTACGAACTTGTCCTTCTCAGACTCATGAGTCTCAGCTTATCTACAAGCCCCTAGAAAGCTCGCCCTTTCTAGAAAGCCTTTCTAGAAAGCCCTAGAAAGCTGGCCTCAGGAAAGAAGCTGTTGTCCCAGCCCTGAGAGATTGACTTTTGGATCTCCTTTCTGGTATAAGTGGTGCTATGAGTGGATCGTGTGTTCAGACTTTTAGGACATTGCACTGATTTCTGTGGACGGTAAGTTTTCCAGTAAACTCACAGGTGTGCAGTTTGCAGACAGCTTGCTTGGCAGTTCGCTGGTTCATTCTTTCCTGCGCCATGTGTATGAGGTACCTGCCACGGTCCAGGCCGGTGCTAGGCACACAGAGGGTCAGCTAGACACAGCCAGGGCTAGAGCCGCAGGGTGTACCTTATAGTCCTCTTGGAACAGTTTTGTAAAGTCAGTTTTCCTTGTGATGAGAGAGTGGTAGGCAGGAGAACTAGAAGCCCCACCCTGGTTCGCTGGTGGTGGTATGAACTTGTCTTAGCCAGATAACCTCTGTGAGTCTCAGTTTCCCCACCTGCTAAATGGGCATAGCAGTCTCACTCTGCTGCCTGTCCTGCCCTCCTCTTCGGAGCTGTGGCCGTTAAAGGGAAGAATTTTATGTAGTGCTTTATGAATATGAGGTGGTCTTGTTGTTAATCCCTCAACATGCATAGATAAAAGTGCTTTGAAAAATATAGGGTCTTAAAAACAAAGAGAGAATGGCAGTGTTGTCTCTACCCTCTACTGATCTTAAAAGAAGGAGTACTGCTAGGATGTAATGGTAAGGAATCAGGGAATCAAGCTGTGGCTTCTTGTGGAGGAAACCCATGGGGCTGCCTCCCTGTGCGGAGCCTGTGTCTGTGCTGTGCCAGCCCAAAGCCCAGAACCTGGTCCTTAGCAAGGGGACTGACTATGGCCTTGTCCTTCCAGTGCACCAGGTGGCGGAGCGGGTAGAGGCCCTGGGGCAGTTTGTCATGAAGACCAGAAGGACCCTCAAAGGCCATGGGAACAAAGTCCTGTGCATGGACTGGTGCAAAGATAAGAGGAGGATCGTGAGCTCGTCACAGGTAGGTCACACCTGCTGCGTAATGGGTGAGCGGGTTTTGGATTTTATAGCTAAGGGGGAGGAGGGCTGTCCCTTTCCAAAAGCCCTTTTCTGATCTTTGTAAGACTTTGCTCATTCTCCAAAGGATGTGATTTAGCATAAAGAACTCTCTTGCATACTATAGAACTTCACTAATTTGGGTAGATTTGAAGTTGATAATAGTTGAAACAGTGTAGATGTAGTTTAACCAGTGTGATGAGCCACTGAAAATAATTTCAAAGTCTTATTTGTAAATGAAACCATTTTTTAAATAGTTTCTTTTTTTTCCCCCCCAAATTGAGGGCATAAGATTCTATCAATGACTTTCTTTCAATTTAAGGCGTTTAGCAATTCTTATGTCGTAAAGAACAATGTTAAGATACATATCTTGTAAAGTACAATTTTAAAAATCATATCATTTACATAGTTTATTTTATATATTATTTATTAGTTATCTATTACTCCAAAAAATTACCCCAAATTTAGCAGCTTAATAATCTCGCATGGTTTCTGAGAATCAGGCATCCGGGAGTGGCTCCGCTGGGTGGTTCGGGCTCAGGTGGTTTGTGAGGTTGTGTGAAGATGCTGGTCGGGGCTGTGGTTGCCAACAGCTGAACTAAGGTGGAGACTCACTTCCAGGGTGCCTTGTTCACATGACTCTTGGCTGGAGGCCTCAGTTCCTCACCATTGGACCTGCTCACAACATGGTAGCTGGCCTCTCCCAGAGCGAGTGATCCACAAGAAGGGGCAGAGGCAGGGCCATGCTGTATTTCATGACCTGGCCTCAGAGGTGACAGTCCATTGCTTCTGTTGTATTCTGTTGGTCACACAGAACAACCCTGATATAAAGAGGAAAGAGACTATAGAAAAGTGACTACCAGGAAGCTGGAATGATTTGGACTCCCAGTCTCACTTGGAGTCTGGCTCCCACAGCTTAGTACTTTTGATGTCTATTTTTATGTAACATGTATTGAACATAAAGCTATAAACTGAAGTCACATGAGATATTCTGTAGGCTGGTTATGGGGCTCATGCCTATAATCCCAGCACCTTGGGAGGCCAAGGCGGGAGGATCACTTGAATCCAGGAGTTCAAGACCAACCTGAGCAACATGGTGAGACCTCGTCTTTACAAAAATAGAAATAAAAAATTAGCTGGGCGTGGTGGTGCATGTCTGTAGTGCCAGCTACTTGGGAGGCTGAGGTGGGAGTATTGTTTGGGTGTAGGAGGTCAAGGCCGCAGTGAGCTGAGATTATGCCACTGCACTCCAGCCTGCGCAACACAGTGAGACCCTGTCTCAATAAAAAAAGAGATCTTTGGCCGGGCGTGGTGGCTCACGCCTGTAATCCCAGCACTTTGGGAGGCTGAGGTGGATGGGTCACCTGAGGTCAGGAGTTTAAGACTAACCTGGCCAACATGGTGAACCATCTCTACTAAAAAATACAAAAATTAGCAGGGCATAGTGGTGGGAGCGTGTAATCCCAGCTACTCGGGAGGCTGAGGCAGGAGAATCTCTTGAACCTGGGAGGCGGAGGTTGCAGTGAGCTGAGATCATGCCACTGCACTCCAGCCTGAGCAACGGAGTGAGAGTGTTTATTTTTTTCTCAAAATCTTATTTTTTCTATAAATCATATTTTTATGATCAGCATAGTTTTCCCTCAACCCCTGCCTTGTGCTCAGTTTTTCCAAAAGCAGGTTGGTTTGCTTTTTTATATAACCCTTGTAAAACTGGATATACTCTAGAGAATCCACAGACTGTAAAGTCTGTGTCAGTTTTGCGTTTGATAGGACAAATGTTATTACTCTCCTGGATTACCTACAAATCTAGTATGTCACATTGCACTTGCTTTTTTTTAAGATCAAAATAAATTTATCACTTATGTATTTTACTACATTAAAGAAACACTGGAAAATAAAAACCTTTTACTCCCACCATCCTGTCACAACCATTATTATTTTTTTTTCTTTTTCTTTTTTCTTTTCTTGAGATGGGGTCTCACTCTGTTACCCAGGCTGGAGTGCAGCTCACTTCAGCCTTGACCTCCTAGGCTCGAGTGATCCTCCTGCCTCAGCCTCCCAAAGCACTGGGATTATAGACGTGAGCCACCTTGCCCTGCCCGTTATTATTATTTTAGAGCACTTCTTTCTAGTCTTTTTCAAGAGCTTATTCTTACAAGGTGCTTCTCAGGATATCCATGTTGCTCTCTAGCCTTTCGACTTAAATCCAGACAAGGTAGGCTTTGTGTTGGGTTTTCTGTCTCTCACATACTGCTGTTGGAAGGGAGGACCTTCAGCAGGGCTGGGCACACCCTGTCCATTCTGCTCTGTTCCAGAGCTGGAAGAGGTGGATGTGGGTGTGGGGAGGAGGCTGGAAAGCAGGAAGCCTCTGGAACAGACTTGGACTCATCAGCAGCCTTCCTGCTTCAATGCAGGAGAGTCATCACCCCAGCCACGTGGGATTAAGGCTTGAGGGTAGAAGCATATTTTCTGTCTTGGTACATAGACCCCTACACATAAATCTGTGCTCACCGAGGAGACCACACTTAGTTTAATGAGACCCCAGAGCACACAGTGGGTGGCACACACGAGGACTCCAGAGCACACATGGGGGGACAGGCAGGCAGTGAGGTGGAAGAAGCCCCTAACGTGGTCGCTGATGTGGGCAGTGCATGGAACCAGTCCCCAGCCATTAGGGGCTCCAGGTGCGGAGGACCCCATGATACAGGCGTGTGGCCCCACTCCAGTTTCTGTGCTACAGGCTTATCGAATCCACCCCACACAGTGTGGGCCATTTAGGCAGAAATTAAGACCAGAAGAACTAATGTGCTTTGGAATCTCAGAAGGCCCCAAACCACCAACTTTGACCTTGCTTCAGGGTCCATCTGCCATGCATGGTGTTAACACAGAAATCTTCCATCAGATCATGCAAAGCAAGCAGCTGTGTCACTGCAGATCCGATCTTGCTTCTGCCCTTAAGTGATGTTTTCCATCCATATCTCTGCCACCTCATTCACCAAAATTTGGCCCCAAATGGCTTGAGTTATTACAAAATCAAGCCTGCCATAGTGGCTGTAGATTTCCCATCCCTGAGGATCCAATCTTCTTCCACTGTCTGCCCAGCAACCTGCATGCCACGGTCTGGGCAGGGGACTGCTTTGCAGGGACCAGGGCTCACATGGATTTACCTCTGATGGGTTTTCATTACAAATAGATGATGCTATAGTCACAACCCACACCCACGGGAGGCCACAGCTGGGTTGCCGTGAAAGTGGCAGCATTCTCTGTGGCAGGGCCAGCTCTGCGTTCACCCTGGCAGGGAGTGCTGTTTGCTTACTGAACAGCTGCCCACAGGGGTTCCCACCACGATGGCGCATATTGCACGTTGTTCTCAGCGTAGGTGCGAAATGTCAGAGCTGGAGCTGTGACATCTGTGAGCCCTTGGAGGAATTAGACTGATCTCAGGCCCATTCCGCCCCCTCCGCAGCTGTCCCTGGCAGAGAAATGGACAGCAAATGGGGAGAGGGGTTCCTGGATGGTGCCGTGGGGACCATGGGCTCCAAAGCAAATGGGAGAAAGGACAAAGTAGCAGAGATGTTGTAGGAGAAAAAGATTTATTATTTACCTGTCAGGTCCCTAAAGGTAATGTCAGGTTTATCTTTCCTCTGTATAATTTGTTGACATTTAGGGTATGGCGGGTGATGATAGTGTACCAACAGTTTGTGCATGGTTTGTAAATGGTATGAAAGAAGTGTCAGCGTGTTGTTTCCTGTTGTTGTATCTTTCCAAGGAATGTAAGGTTGAGATCCTTCGGCTCCACTGGGACATCCAGCCCCTCCCGCACTCACTCCGCTTCTTTTCATGGAAGGTTAGGGGGTCTTGATTATCCAGATCCTCATTCCGGCTTTCCACTTCACACTGCCCTGCTGGACACAGCTTTTATGAGGAATTCTCAGCAGTAATATGTAAGAACTTGACAACCTCTGAACTGTTTGCTCTTCTCCCTCCAGGATGGGAAGGTGATCGTGTGGGATTCCTTCACCACGAATAAGGTGAGGCATTGTTCCCAGCTACATTAGGCACTTCAGAACCCCAGCCTAGTTAAAGGTGCTGTGGTCCAGCTGCCCAGCCCTGTCCTGATTTTTCTCCATGTGTCCCTGCAAGCAGTTTTCTCTAGGGATGGCCCATCCGTGTTTGAACAGCTCAGCCAGCCCATTGCAGCCTTTATTCCCCTCTCACCCCGAGAGGACTATTAGAGCCACTATAGGGGCTGCCAGTACCAACATAGAAATGGGCAGAGCATGGAAAACTTGCGTCCACGTGTGCAACTGCATGTACTATTTGTCTTCTGAGTGATAAGAGGCACCGAAATCCTCCATTCCCTCCCCTCTGTTTGACCGGACTCCATAGCCCTGTGGGAATGAACGCATGGAGGGTGGGGAAGATGAGGCTGCAGTGGAATTGGGCAGAGCTACCCTGTGATGCAGTCTGATCCCCTTGCAAGTCTGGCCTGGGCATGCACAGCTCAACTTTTAAATTTTAGCTCTTAATGAAAGTTGAAGACCAAAACCTACGTGCAGGTATGCTGGCACACCTGCACTGCATTGGCATTTACAATAAAGAGTATTGTGTATTAAATAAGAATTCCTATATTTCTTTAGAAAGCCTTCCTTTATGCTGTGAACAACATGAGACCTGTCTCTGTCTCATAGTGAACAGCAGCCATATTCCGCATTGTCTAATGTGTTTAGTCACTGTCGTGGGAAGCAGCTGGTGACATGACCTGGTCAAGTGAGGGGCCAGAATCATTTTGTAGAGTCAAGTCCCTAATGGTCAGTCCCCTGGGGAATACAAATGACAGCTTAACAATTTGCACAGGGCTTTGCTATACAGCGCCTAGCTCCCTGGAAGCCTCCGTCTCTCCCAGCACTCCTCAGCATCTTCTGGACTGTGCAGGAGTGTAGTTGCTTCTGTTTACACCTTATCATGGCTTAGAGCACAGACTGATTTCTGGGGAGCCAAGGGTGCCACTTGTGGCCCGTGGCAGGGAATACAGCCATTACTTGTGAGGAAGGGGGCCCGGGATACCCTGTGCTGACAGTGGCTACCTCAGCTCGTTCTCTGGAGAGCAGTAGATTATTCTTGGCCTCTGAAAGCCTACGAGACTGCTATTGACAATAGTATTTGGGCAGGCAGTATTGGGGCCTGTGTTTCCCCACAAAAACACATATAATTACAACAGAGAAGAAGACCAGCACTTGAGTGTACATTGGAAGCATGAAGAACTAAGCGCGCCCGTCCCTGGCTGCTGGCTGGCTGAGTCACCCCTGTCCTCCTGCACGCAGATATGCAAACAACAGAGCCATATTTCCAATACATCTGAGCTTGAGGTCTTATTCCCATGGGAGACGTGGACCCTGGTCCTGGTTCCACCACCACCAAGATGTGCGACCGCATGCAGGCCAGCTGCTTGTGCCCACGGTGGTTCTTATTCTCCCTGTGAAGCTAGAAGCCAGGGACTGTCATGCTTAGTTCTTAATATTTCCATGTTACCAGTTCTCATTGTCTGTGAGCACAACCGAAGATCGCCTTCCCCTCCCCGCACCCATTCATACCTTCCCTGGGATAGTTTAGGTCCCACAGTGGACACAGGCTCTTGCAGACTCACAAGTAAACAAACTGAAAATACATCTATAAAAAGTCATTCCAGAGTGTATTTTGAAAATGGAAATCAGAGTAAACAAGGAAACGTATGTATCTGAAAGGAGATTTGGGCATACCTTTCAAAGCAAAGGGGCCCTGATACTCAGGCAGAAGAACAAAGGGAGTATGACATTAAGAAGGAAGTAAAACATGAAGGGTTTTTGTTTTGTTTTGCTTTGCTTTTGCTAGTTGAACTTTTTAACTTTTCGAATATGTGACATAAAGTTGATTATGAGAGTCCCCTCGTAAGTCTTGAGCCCATCTTTACCCTATACCACTTCCTTTTGACACTAGAATGTAATTCAGTAGGCATCTGGTGATTTTATTTTCTGAAATTTAGACGTTAAGATTTTTGTGGCCAGGCACGGGGGCTCACACCTGTAATCCCAGCACTTTGGGAGGCCGAGGTGAGCAGATCACTTAAGGTCAGGAGTTCGAGACCAGCCTGGCCAACATAGTGAAACCCCATCTCTACTAAAACTACAAAATTAGCCAGGCGTGGTGACACATGCCTGTAATCCCAGCTACTCAGGAGGCTGAAACAAGAGAATCGCTTGAACCCGGGAGGCGGATGTTGGAGTGAGCTGAGATTGTGCCACTGCACTCCAGACTGGCAACAGAGTGAGACTCCATCTCAAAAAAAAAAAAAAAAAAAGAGTTTTGTGTGGAAGTGCTAGTTGTCTACTCTGTGCTGTGTTTCAGGAGCACGCGGTCACTATGCCCTGCACGTGGGTGATGGCATGTGCTTATGCCCCATCGGGATGTGCCATTGCTTGTGGGTAAGTCGGAGCTACAGCAGCTTTTCAGATTTTGTGTTAACCATAAAATACTGTTCTCTTAGCAAAAACAAACAAACAAACAAAAACTCGTAGTTTTTGTAGTTTACTTGTGAAGCAGCATGCTAAATCCTTCCCTGAACTTGGTCAAAGGAGAAACCGTAAGCTGGCACAGTGGTGCCTGCTTGTAATCCCAGCCACCTGGGAGGCTGAGGTGGGAGGATCACTTGACCCCAGGAGTTCAAGTCCACCTTGGCAACAAAGCAAGACCCCCATCTCTTTAAAAAAAAAAAAAAAGAACCATAAAACTCTCTTTCATAATTATTTTCATTACAAACTGACAGTATCTCAAACCTATCTCATCTCTCAAACCTATCTCCTCTCTCAAATGCTTTTGGCAGAACTATAAATGTTGCAAACATTTTGGAAAGCAACTTGGTAATGTCTGTCAGAAGCCTTGAAAAACTGATAGCCTTTGATCTGGTGACTCCACATCCAGGAACTCATTTGAAAGGAATGATCCAAAACATACAAAAGCCATATGGACAATGACATTAATTGTAGTATTTATAAAAATAAAGCAAAAAACACCAGGCGTGATGGCTCTCACCTGTAATCCCAGCAGCACTTTGGGAGGCAGAGGCAGGAGGATCACCTGAGCCCAGGAGTTCGAGACCAGCCTGGGCAATGTGGTAATAATACCTTGTCTCTACAAAAAAAAAAAAAAAAAAAAAAAATCTAATTAGCTGGGTGTGGTGGTATACACCTGTAGACCCAGCTATTCTGGAAGCTGAGGTGGGAGGATTGCTTGAGCCTGGGAGGTTAAGGATGCAGTAAGCTGTGATGATGCCACTGTACTCCAGCCTGGGTGACAGAGTGAGACCCTGTCTCAAAAATAAAATGAAGCAAAAAAAAAAAAGGAAAGAAAAAAGGAACCAACATACCCATCCAGGAAAACTTAAGTGAATTGTGGTACATGAATTGAATGGAATATCATACAGCCATTAAAAAGGAAAATTCTTAATTACACTATGTGAAAAGGGCATCAAGATTACTAGGAAGAGTGTGACTTATTCTCTATTCTATTCTCCTGGAGCTCAGTTTAACAGGTTTGGCAATGAGAACTGAAACCGACATAATTTCTGGTCCCTGTGTTGAACAATTCTGAGACCATTCAAAATATTTCTGGCACAGTATCTCAGCCATGTTTTTAAAAAGAGGCATATTAGGCCAGGCGCGGTGGCTCACGCCTGTAATCCCAGCACTTTGGGATGCTGAGATGGGCGGACCACGAGGTCAGGAGATTGAGACCATTCTGGCTAACATGGTGAAACCCCATCTCTACTAAAAATCGGAAAAATTAGCTGGGCGTGGTGGCGGGTGCCTGCAGTCCCGGCTACGCGGGAGGCTGA